GCCACTACTAACCACTATCCAGATTTGCTTAAAATGTAATGGTGTTTCGAAAATTCTAACTTTACAAATTGAGTGACATTGTGTATAGACACAAGAAATGAGAAATCTAAAGTTTATTGACAAGTAACTATGTACTTATTTCATCGTTCTTGGACACAATGCATGTCCTGGAATGAAAGAACTGAAACTGTCTTAATAGATTTTAGCAAAACCTAAGTTTATGATTTCAAGCAGATTGATTTCAAAGATTGCCCATCATACAAAGTGCACAATGATGTCTACTAACTACGTTTTGTATGTATATAACAATGTGATATATAAGAATCTAATCACCACCTAAGTAATAACAAAAGGATGTATATTCATTTTATGTAATAAGTCAACTAGATGAAAGATACACGTTCATGAATTCAATTAATTGTTAGTTCATTTGTAATCAATAAATCCCAAGTAGTTATAAAGTAAACGGATGTTTATTTAAAAAAAGCTCTGCTTGTAAATAGTAATTTTTAACATATATCTTCATTATAAACAACAATGGATAGTGGATAACAGTGGAGTTCAGGATGCACGCCGCTTCATCCCATTTGGAACTCGTCAGCTGGGTGTACCTGTATTCCAGAGTTGATGTCTTTGCAGGGACTCGAACCTAGTACCTTTAGAATGATGGTATATCTAGATGATGAGAGCTGACGGTACACAAGTAAGTGACTACCAGGACTCAGTAGCTAAGTGGATAACACAATAGCGTTTGAAACGAACGGAACCGTGTTTCAGTCCCAAAGTGAATATCAACTCTCAGATGAAGATACATCTAGCTGAAGAGTCCCAAACAGGACGAAACGCACTTCTTGGATTCCACTGCCAACCACTATCCTCCTTTACTTATAATACTTATGACTTAAGACAATATTGAGATAATCCACACAGGATGCACATATACCAACAAGAGACAAGAGATAACATTTCATAAAAATGTGACCTTGGAAATGTTTATTTCTTCTTTAATCGAAGTAAATATAGTAACTTCGCTGGTTGAAATCATGAGTCATTTGAAACTAGACCATCATGGAAAACCTGGAAGCACTGAACGGCCGTTTCGTCCTAGCAGTGCGCATCCACGACCCCACGAGATTCGAACCAAGGACCTATCAGTCTCGCTCCAGGAGCTCAAACAACTAGACCACTGAGCCAGCATCCAACGCTGTTAATGTCTAACTTCAACCAATCCACGAAGTTGCGCCACCGTACACCATTATCTTCAGTGAGTTCCTATCTCACAACAGACCTGATTGAACTCCACTGGTAACAGCTACTCACTAGAACTCCAGGAGTGTCTCCTGAAGTCAGTCACTAGTGAGCAGGGCTGGACCGTACATGCGCACTGCTGATGAGTCCCATACTAGGACGAAACGACCATCCAGTGCTTTCAAGTTTTCCATAGTTGTCTAGCTTTAATTGACTCATGGTTTCAACCAGCGAAATTTCTAAAAATCTTCACAAAATCCATTCTGATAAAATATAGTAACATTGAATAAATATATGCTTATACCCCCATTTATTCCAACCATTAGAGAATTAAGATTTACACAAACAAGCAAAGAAAAAAAAATGCCGAAAACTAAAGTTTCATTCAAGCAACTATATCCATTCTATACAGAATTATTTCGGTTATGCATTGAATTTTGTTCAAACTTATTGGTTTACACATTAAAAACAGTGTACTACCAATAGAGATCAATGGACTTTTATGTACAAATATACAGTACTAAGGTCAAATGTATTCAAATGATAATCACCGAATTATCGCAAAGAACTTTTAACTATAAATTAAAGTTTAATAAATATAGTTTTCATTAGAATATACTAAGTCTATAACATAAAATGAAAGTAAACACTTAAAGGATTATTCATTATGTGGAAAAGATTTTGTGGAGATTGTAGTAATTTTGATGGAGTTTTGTATTCCGAGCTGGATGGTTTGGTCGTGGAGCTTTCATTGTTCCTCTTCTGAACGACATCATTAGCACAAACTTCAGACAGAAGTGAAGTGTTCGAATTTCTTCATATGTGTTTCACAGCTTGTTCTGTGCACCTCGATGTTGATTGGTTCTTGTTGACCTTAAATTTATAATTGTTCACTTCTTTGTTTTGGTTGTGTCTCCCATTGTTTTGATTCTTGTTCTTATATATATGCATGATTTTCCTGATTGGTTGATAAATTGGATTGATTTCAATGTGTTTGTTGATTGCTGATTGACCTGAGTGCTAGGCTTCTAAAAATTCTCTGGTGTTTTTGGAGTTTCCTCCGTCTAAGATTTCTACATTTTTTCAATCGAATGAGTGTCCGTAGTTATCCACGTGTATTGATATAAGTGAAGAGATATCATGGCGTTTGACTGCTAATTGATGTTCGTGTAGGCGAAGGTGAAGGGGGCGTCCGCTTTGTCCGATGTAGTGTTTTTCGCAGCTGGCACAATTTATTTTTTAGATGATGTTTGATTTGTTTTCCTTTGTTATTTTATCCTTTGGTTTGCATAGGATCGATTATAGTGATTTTGTCGGTTTGTGTGCCACATCTATTTCGAAGGTTTTCAGCAGTCTCGTTGCAAATGACAAATTTAAGGTCAATAAGAAACAATCAACATCGAGGTGTACAGAACAAGCTGTGAAACGCATATGAAGAAATTCGAATACTTCACTTCTATCTGAAGTTTGTGCTGATGTGATGTCGTTCAGAAGAACGATGAAAGCTCCACGACCAAACCATCCAGCTCAGAGAACAAAAATCTATCAAAATCATCCACCTGAGCTACAAATCTTCTCCACTGTAGTAGCTTAATGGCTGAATTCTTGAGTCGATTAAAGCTAGAGCACCATGGAAAACCTGGAAGTACTAGATGGCCGTTTCGTTCTAGTATGGGATTTCTTAGCAGTACGCATCCGTAATCCCACACGAATGCAGGACCTTCGGCTTCACACATGAGCGTTTAACCTGGAGACTGAATATTCTGGGTTTGTATGAGATCGTAGATGAGCAGTGCTGAAGAGTTCCGTGCTAGAACGAAACGACCGTTCAATGCTTCAAGCTTTTCCATAATGGTCTAGCTTTAACTGACTCATGAATTCAACTATTACATTATTCATTTCTTGTTATTATGATGGCACATCAATAGGGTTAACTGAATAGCTTCATTTAATTAATTATGATTTGTGGCGATTTTCCTATTTACAAACTATAAAACAGATCAACTTGACCTTAAAAAATCATTAAAAACTAAGGTGTAATATGTAGTTGTTACTTCTTAACACCAAACCCCTTAAGGGTGTATAATATTCACCTTACTAATGGTTAAACACAGTAGCCCCAGATCCTACAGAGTTCCACTTTAAACTATTAAATTAACCTTTAAGGGACGTGAATGTCTAATTTCGATCTACTTGTGATACTGTTCAACCATTTTCTGCATCATGTTTCATTTCTTACACGGTCAAACATTTTCCGATAACCGTTTTCAACTGAATTCTTCTCTAAACCATGTCAGAGGTGGGACAGATATCACTGAAAGCACTAAATAGTAATTAGACAACATCATGAATTAAATGAAGTTTCAATTTTAGACTATGGAGTCCCTTTCAGATTATTTAAAAATCATTTTACCATTTCAAAAATGTACTCTTCGACTGCCGTGTTCAAGGTTCACTTCATATTAGTTCCAAACTAAATGATGTTACTAAGCAGTTCCTGGATATATGAAGAGAGATGATTGATAAAAGAAGACATTTCACGATTAGAATTTTTGAGATGACTGTTTGATGAAGTATTTGATGAACCAACATGAAGTAGTTGGACGAATGACTTAGTACTATTCTAATGAGCAAGAATACAAGTATGGACAATCAAATGTATTTGAACACACAATTACAGAATCACTTAGTAAAATCTGAGAACCATACAGTAAAATGTCAATCAATTGTCTCAAACTTCATTATCCCTTTGATTCCACACCAATTATTCTTTGTTCCCGTTCTCTTTTGTTTGATCTTTTTAACCTTCTAACAACCAGACATTTCATTTCTGATTAATGATACATACGACTTATATCTATCAACATCAGTAGCACAAACCACATTATTTCAGAATTCCTTTATTCACTGTAGACATTAGCAAAATGATACAATGATGAAATGGGTATAACAGAATTTAAAAATAAATACACAAGGTTAGATAAGTTCAACTTTACGTCAACCAATAGTTTTATAAAAGAATAAAGGTGCTCTTAACTAATCGACGTTTCATTAGTTGAGATCATGAGTCATTTGAAACTAGACCATCATGGAAAACCTGGAAGCACTGGACGATCATTTCGTCCTACTGTGGGACTCCTCAGCAGTGAGCATCTACGATCCCGCCTCGCGGGATTTCAACTCAAGACTTATTAGTCTCACGCGTGAGCGCTTAACCACTAGACCACTGAGCCGGCATCCAACGGTGTTAATGTCTAACTTCAACTAATCCATAAAGTTGAGCGATACATCCACCATTGTCATCAGTGAGATACTATCTAACAACAAACCCGGTTAAACTTCACTAGTCACTGCTTCTCACTAGAACTCCAGGAAACACCTTTTGGAGAACGTCACTAGTGAGTACATGTTGATTAGTATCAGAAGAGGTTTTATGGAGGTTGTAATTTCTACAGGGTTTGAATCCCGCGAGGCGGGGTCGTGGATGCGCACTGCTGAGGTGTCCTACAACAGGACAAAACGGCCATCCAGTGCTTTCAGGTTTTCCATGGTGGTCTCGCTTCAATTGATTCATGATCTCAACTACTGAAATTACTACAATCTTCACAAAACCACTTCTGATACTAATAAATGTTTCCAATAAAATTTCAGTGTTTCTTCAACTTTGTTTATCAGTAGATTTATAATCATTGTCTATTTTATATATTCCTTACTACATCTTTACTTCATCAATCTTATCAACTTAAAATTAGTACTAACAAATGATAAATGTCAATTGGATAGTGACTGTATATATGTGAAAAATAGTATTTGTCATCCTGGTGCTGGAGCATGTATTTGTCCATCTGGAACTATTTATGTACCAGAAGAACAATCATGTAGTAAGTTATTTTGAATATTATATAATTGTTTTTCTAAGTAATACTTATATATTGAAACAAATTATACGAGAAGAATATCAACGACGAGACCTATAATTTATGGACGACCCTTGAACGAATCTTACGTGACCTTGAAAAGTATTGAACAATCAGCAAACAATGAGTATAGAGTAAAAATATATTATACAAAGCCAAAGTGGATACACTTCTTATACATGGCTCGAAAACTTGTCAAGATTAGGAAGAGGTCCAGAGGTTTTAAAATCGTAATGTATACGGTAGAGGAAATCACCCATATGGCCGCATTATAGTAGGCGTCTGGAGCCATGATAATGTTGCAAAAACTCTATCAGGCTCAACTACATAGCTTCAAAGTTGTTTGTGTACATTCGGTTGTTGGGTCCACAAAATGCCGCTTGTGGGCAACGATATAATGCACATAACCAATACTATGTAGCTATCTGTACGCTCTCCAATCATCCGTATATATTTTAATACCCGGCTGCACCCAGTGTTATTGGTGCTTTTATTATCGAGCGAAAAATTCCTATTCTAGCAGACGTTTTCCTTCAACACATCAAGAGACAACATCGCGGCAGTCTTCACAAGGTCCACAAGTCATTTTATCACCACAACCACAAATAAAGGAACTTCATAGTAGTCCCATTTGTTGTAGCTGCTTAATTATCACTTTTTCTCTAAAAATCCGCTATGAATCGATCGTACATGAGCATTAAGTACTAAAACTGGCGCTATGATCCTAAGATCCTTCAAACATTTCTGATCGGCTCGTCTATAAATTATAGTCTCACCGAAATCACTACAAAAGATGCCTGTGCAGTAAACTCCGACTGATAAAATAAAGAATCAAACTTTACCAACAAGTTTCAACTGATGACATCATTTTGAATGAGGTAATCTCAGTCAACAAAGATAATACAATCTAATCTATTCGATTTAATTTGTGTACCTCTAAAAATTCCACATATTCCATAGAAATCCAATATGTTGATACAAATTTGACATTAATTCAACTGATAGAATATTTCTTCATCAGTATTATTACTATTTCACTACTGATATTGCTCAATTCAATAGTTTATTTGGTTACATCATCATTACACAATTTAAAGCAACCAGAACCGAACTAAATAGTTACATTGTCATATTTGTGGTCCTAATCCTTATACTCAGGAACAGTAATTGTGACATGTGCTACTGAGATCGACAAATACAAGTAGTATGTGTTCTTAGTTAAAGTATTAGTGTTCTATATGATGGTGATTTTTACAGAGTTTGAATAAATGTCACTTAAGTTTAGATTGATATCATGGATGAATGAATGTTAGGCAACCATTGAAAACTTGGAAGCACTAGACAGCCGTCTCGTCCTAGTATGGGACTCCTCAACAATGTACATCCATTAACCCATGTGAGGGACTCGAACAAAAGACATCCCGTTTCGCGTGCGAACGCTTAACCTGTAGATCAGTGATCCAGCATCCAACGGTGTTAATGTCTAGCTTCAACCAATTTACGACGTTGCGCGACCGTCCACCGTTGTATTCAGTAAGTAACTGCCTCACAACAGACATAGTTGAAGTCCACGAGCCACGGCTTCCCAATGGTGGTCTAACATTGATCCATTCGTGATATCAATCTAAACTCAACAATCTCCACAATCATATACTGATGATTATCATTTGATTAAAAAATTGCTTTGCTATCATTTTATGTCGTAGGATTTCAAATCAAAACATTTGCAAATGATTTCTGTGATAAATGTGAACGTTTCCATGGTTTATGCTACAGATATGAAAACGACCGAGAATTAAGTCACAACAACAAAAGGTAAGTACTAGAATGAATTATAACAACTCTCCTATAATCAATTTGTTTAACAGACAGTATTATTCGAACAGTAACCATTTGTCTATTTCTTTATAATATTATGATCACCATTATGTCTGTATAAATGTGTGTACTTGAATCTTATTAATTGTCTTACCTTTGCATTACCTTACTTCGCTTGGCCTCGTTTAGCCTTTGCCTTGCGACACTTGGCCTTGACTCGATTTGACTATAAATCCACCTTTGTATTCGCTCGCGCACACATATTCGCCTCTCTGCTCCAACTCGCTCGATGTGTTTGTAACTTTGTTATCTGTGCTATCCAATAATAAACTGTAGTCGTCGCTTCGTGTTACCTTCTGAATTCATACACCGTTGGTATTTATTTAATAATGGTTATCAGGGTGATTAATAAACGAAGCCTAAGAGATTATCTCGAAGTTAATCTGTAGTCAAGGAGAACACAGGTCAGGACAACTGAATTACATTCAGCACAAAATTACAGAGTTACTTGGCAAAATAGAAAAATCATACTATAATACTTAATTTGCAAAATGTTCACAAATTGTCTCGAACTTCGTTGTTCTTGAATTTCCATATTAATTGCTTCTTATTCCCGCTCTTCCTTTCTTGATCTTCCCCCATCTTCTGCTGCCAGACATTACATTCTTGACTCGCGTCATATACTACTTATATCAATATAAGTAGCACGCACCATAAAGCCACTACAAAGTAACATACAAATCCAATGTATATGTAGGTAAGTAAAACGATTGTACTGAATCAAGTTGTAAAATATTGGTAGGTGAAAGACCAGTTTTCTAAGAATATTTTTTAAGTAGCATAACCCAACAAGTTGAAATACTGGCTCAAAGTACATTCAATAAGTTTATACGCTTAAAGAAATATTAGGGAGATAGTTCCTCTAATTTTAAAACATTTTAGTTCAGTACAGGGTTGCTACTTACGATGTCGAACGATAAGATATATCCCTGGAGTAAAAAATAAACCAGTTTGGTGAATGTAGAAAATCTCATTGTTGAAAGTATGCAAATTTAGTTAACTCATCCCATATAGCATGGATATAATTTAATCCTGTCGATATCGAGTCATTTTCAGTCTACATTTAACTAAAATCGTAAGTAATACATTTTCTTTGCAATTTTTAGACACCTACATTACAACATACCACATTGTACGAACATTTCATGTACCTAAATTAATGGGTACTGTGGTTGTTAAAAGGGACATTAGCGCCGTGAATTCCGAAGGAACTCGGCTTTTACCATAAGGCATCATAACTCTTCTAAATGAAGACCTTCTAACTCCTAGGGCAGAGTTTAAATGGTTTGAATTATATTTTCTCGTTGGCGTTTTTTTGGAGAGTTAGTTTCCTACAGGATGGAGTGGGTGACCACATGACCAGACGTCTTCCTTTATCCGGGCTTGAGACCGGCAGTTGCCCCAGAAGGGCTCCAGGCGGAGTTCTACATTACAACTAGTTAGTTAGATTGGTCGTTTGAAACAATATACATGAAGTATAATCAAGGATTACTAGTGGTGAACATCTTAATCTAATTGACATTGTAGACACTTTAAACATTCATTATCTAAAACTTGAATTGTGTATATAATAACAAAATTGCTAGGTCCCTTATTTTACCAGAGTTACGTTTATATGAGGTCTATATAAGTATTATCAAAAAGATTTTCTCTATACAGAATTACTTATCATTATTATTCATTTAACACTTTTATCAATTCAGTTTATATGTTAATAACATCCATATTAACTGTGTTCACTCCATCGGTAATACACTTTCTTTTTCTACATGCCATTAATCCCTCATCGAGGAGCATAGGCCGCCCATCGCTTCCAATGTATCACGTCCAATGTATAAAGCTATAATTTAACACATCCATACGATCATACATCTTTTGAAATAAATTTGGCTGAAAAAAAGAATTATCTACTGAATTAATCGTTTGGTAAATTATTAAGTAATTTAATGATTGAATTCATGAGTTGATTTGAGCTAGACTATCACGGAAAATTTAGAAGTACTTGACGACGGTTTCGTCTTAGTATGAGACTCCGCAGCAGTGCCACTACTACAATTCCCACAAACTTTCATTCTGACAATAATTATCATGTGCTCATTAGTGACTGGCTTCAAGATGTGGTTCCTGGAGTTCTAGTAAGTAGATGTGACAAGTGAAGTTCAATCATATCTGTTGTGAAGCAGTTACTTACTGAAGATAATGGTACACAGTCACGCGATATCGTAGATTGATTGAAGTTAGACATTAACACCGTTAGATGCCGGCTCACTGGTCTACAGATTAAGCATTCACGCGCGAGTTTGGAGGTCTTGTGTTCGAATCCACCATACGGGATAATGAATGAGCATTGTTGAATCTCCCACTAGGACGAGACAGTCGTCCTGTACTTTCAAGGTTGCATAGATTAAATCGACTCATGAATTCAATCTGTTTAATCACTACAATTCCCATAAGTACTCATTCTGACCACTTATTAGGTGTTATTTTAGATTATTCCATACGTAACACATTTTTAAAGAGTTGATCAGTGCGACGAATCTATTATCAAATATTATTATTGTTATTTCAGAATTCTATATGGATGTAAATGCCCATACAATACAGTTTCAATTAATACTAACCTCCTATGGAATAAATCATATATCAATCAATCTAAAACATTAGTCTCCATTAATAGTACACAAATAATCAACTATATGAGTGATAAAGAGAATAGTGGCTTCTGTCGAGGTTTGTTAGGTAAGTCTAACATTGATAGATACAATGATAATTATTCCATGTCTCTTACACACTAATGCAGATATTTACTTTAAAAAACATTGTTAACGTTGATTGGATGACTTATTCAGTAAACAGTGAAAATAAGAATCATAAAACCTATTTATATTCAATAATCTTGATGACTGATTATATTTCCTTGAAAAAGCTTGGACCAAATTGCCAGTTGACTTACTTAATTACGCTTGTTATCCCTCATCGAGGAGTATTGGTCGCCTATCAGCACTCGACATCCAACCCTGTCATGGACAATCCTTTTCATATCTGTTTCTATTTACGGACGTAATGTGTTCTTTCACCTTCCACTTTTTCGCATCCCTTCACCATTCAAAGTTAGTGCTTGCCTCATAATGCAGTTTAGTAATTTCCACAATATATGTCCTATCCATTTCCATCGTCTTCCCATAATTTCCTCTTCAATTGGAAGCTTGTTTTTCCCCTCACACAGAAGGAACCTTCTGATGGTATCCGGTCAATGGATGTTGAGTATCTTGCGTAGACAATTATTGATAAATACTCGTACCTTCTTGATGATGATTGTAGTAGTTCTCGACGTTTCAGTCCCGTACAGTGGAACTGTGTTGACGTTTGTATAGCATATTGTAACTTGAATGTATGTTGATAGTTGTTTTGAGTTCCGTATGTTCTTCAATTGTAGGAATGCTGTCCTTGCTTTGCCGATCCTCGCCTTTACGTCTGCATCTGAACCTCCTTGTACATCGATGTGAAGGATTCTACATCTCCCAGAGTTTCGCCATCAAGAGTGATTGGATTGCTGTTCTCCGCTTTGAATTTGAGGACCTTGGTTTTCCCTTTGTGTATGCTGAGGCCTACTGATGCAGAGACTGCTGCTACACTGGTTGTCTTCATCTGCATCTGTTCGTGTGTACGTGATAGGAGGGCTAGGCCATCTGCGAAGTCCAAATCGTCTAATTGATTCTGAGCTATCCATTGTATCCCGTGTTTTCCTTCAGATTTCGAGGTCTTCATAATCCAGTCGACCACCAGGAGAAAAAGGAAGGGAGAGAGTAAACAGCCTTGTCTGACTCCGGTCCTTACTTGGAATGCATCTGTCAGCTGTCCTCCATGCACGACCTTGCACTGTAGTCCATCATATGAGTTCCGGATAATATTGACAATCTTCTCAGGAACTCCGTAGTGTCGAAGGAGTTTCCATAATGTCCTCCTATCCACACTGTCAAATGTCTTTTCGTAATCAATGAAGTTGATGTACAATGACGAGTTCCACTCAACTGACTGTTCGACGATGATCCGTAGTGTCGCAATTTGGTCTGTGCACGACCGATCCTTACGGAATCCAGCTTGTTGATCTCGAGGTTGGGCGTCTACTGCATCTTTCATCCGGTTCAGCAACACTCTATTGGAGACTTTCCTTGGTATTGACAGTAGTGTTATGCCTCTGTAGTTTTCACATTTGCTCAGATCTCCTTTCTTTGGAATCTTGATGAGGTGTCCTTCTTTCCAGTCCATCGGCACTTGTTCCTCCTCCCAAATCTTTTTGAATAGAAGATAAAGCATGCTTGTGGTTGCTTCGATGTTTGATTTCAGTGCTTCAGCTGGTATGTTGTCGGGTCCTGCTGCTTTCCCGTTCTTGATTTGCCTGACGGCCATTCTAATTTCTTCCGTAGTTGGTGGGTTGACATCTATAGGAAGATCTATGTGTGCTGCTTCGATGTCCGGTGGATTCATTGGAGCCGGCCTATTCAGGATTTCCTCGAAGTATTTTACCCATCTGTTCCGCCGTTGTTGAATTTCAGTGATCGGCCTGCCTTCTTTGTCCCTGGCCGGCCTCTCTGGTTTACTGTATTTCCATGCTAGTTTCTTCGTTGTATCGTAAAGTTGTTTCATATTTCTTTCCTTTGCAGCTTTTTCCACCGTCGTTGCTAGTTCTTCCACGTATTTCTTATTGTCGGCTCTAATGCTCCTCTTCACTTGTTTGTTTGCTTCTATGTATTCAGCTTGTGCTTGAACTTTCTCTGCTCGTGTTCGGCTGTTGTTAATTGCTGTCTTCTTGTTCTTCCTTTCTCTGGTCCTTTCCAGTGTTTCTATAGAGATCCATTCCTTATGATGGTGCTTCTTTAGACCCAGAACCTCTTAACTTCTTTAGCTTCAGTTTTAAGTTGGCCACAACTAGGTGGTGATCTGAAGCTATGTCAGCTCCTCCCCTGCTTCTCACATCTTTCATTGTCCTTCGAAACTTTTTATTGATGCAAATATGATCTATCTGGGTCTCTGTGGTGTGGTCCGTTGAGATCCACGTTGCTTTTTGTATACGTTTGTGTGGAAATATTGTGCCTCCTATGACCAATTTGTTCAATGCACACAGATTTGCAAATCTTTCTCCATTTTCGTTTCTCTCACCCAAAGCATGATATCATCATATCCGGTGTTGTCTATTCCGACTTTGGCAGTTAGATCTCCCATCAGAATGGTTAGGTCCTTTCTTGGGCATTTCTCAATGATTGACTGCAGCTGCTCGTAGAATTGATCTTTGATGTCGTCATTGCTATCATTGGTGGGTGCATAACATTGGATAATATTCATTGTGATCCCCTCCTTCTTTGTTTTGAATGACGCTTTGATGATTCTGGATCAGTGAGATTCCCATCCTACAAGTGCATTTAGTGCTACCTTGGAAAGCATTAGAGCGACTCCCTGAGTGTGTGGAGCATTTTCCTCTTTGTGACGGGAGTATAGCAGCATCTCTCCCGTAGCTAGCCTTTTCTGTCCAGCTTGGGTCCAGTGGGTTTCGCTGATTCCCAGTACTGCCAAGTTGTATCTCCTCATTTCCGTTTATATTTGACTGGTCTTCCCGGTCTCGCACATTGTTCGGATGTTCCATGTACCTATAAAATATTTTGCTCTGGTTGTTAGAAAATGGCATCGGCCTCGTGGCTTCCGAAGGAACTCGGCTTTCACCATGAAGCGTCATAATTCTTCTAAATGAAGACCTTCTAACTTTCAGGGCAGAGTTTAAGTGGTTTGAATTATTTTTTCTGGTTGGCGTTTTTTTAGCGAGTTAGTTTTCTACGGGATGGGAACGCTAACCCCATGCCCAACCCTCCTACTTTACCCGGGCTTGGAACCTGCAGTAACTCTGAAATAACTACAGGCGGAGTTATACTACTTAATACTCCTTATAGATTAACAAGAATTAACAGTAATGAGTCAAAGGTGTTCTCATCGTTTTTCTTCAAATATATGTAGACTTTTTTGATTGAGATTATGAATCCATTGATGTTAATCCACCATCAAAAACCAGGAAGCGCTGGATGGCCGTTTCGTTCTAGTGAGAGGTCGTGACCAGTGGTGCTAATCAATGTCAGGTAGAGGCAGGTATCTACTTCAGATAATGGAAGATGGTCCACTTTTGATTGGTGTTACATACTACTTATAACTGTCAACATAAGTAACATACAATATATATTTCAGAATGATAATAATTACAATAATAGTGATAATAAAGTTCTTTTGAACACATTTACAGTAAGGTAGAATAAAGATAGGTATTAAAACATTATTTTATATCAAGCAAGTGGCTATTAGGACTCAGTAGCTGATATGATGGAAAGAAAAATCAGAATTCGATTAATTTACTCATTATGAGTCTTGTTCAACATTACTTCCGTTTTTGATTCAATGTAATGATTACACAATGTAGTATTCGGTTTTCTTTTCTCGTATGATATTTTCTTCTGTATAATATACGATATTCTTGTATTCAGTTGACATGGACTATGCTCAGTATGTGCTTTCATCCTAATTTCTAATCAAAATGGGTGGACAATCAACATATAAATGAGTGTATTTTCTACTGGAGTTGTCGTCATAGTGTTTTGGGGTTAATAACTCATCACTTATACCAGCCTTTGTGTTCTTACTTTCGCGTCGTGGGAATTGCAGAAGTCCCTTGTTCCGAGTATAAGTGATAAGCGTTTCCGACATAACAATCAGCGACGACCAGATACAAAGAGTAGCATTAAAAAACCAAGACAATAAGCATTCAAACGACAAGTTATAACAGTAGCTAAGAGGATAACGCGATGGCAGAAGAGTCCCAAAATAGGATGAAACACGCATCCGGGATTTCACTGCTAGCCACCATCCATTTTTGTTTATAATGCTTGTAACTGAAAACATCCTCAGAGGCAATCTGGACATATACCAATAATAGACTGCAGTCGTAAACATCGATGGGAAGATTCAAGCAAACAATACTGAATGAATTGAAACTAATAACAATTTCATTGGTAAAGGCTTAAATATTTTTCATAAAGATAAATAGGGAAATTATAATTGGGAAAGGATCGCTAAGCATGATAAAATAAAATACTGAAATTGAAATGAAATATAATCAGGGGAATCGTAGAAACAGAAATAAACCAGTGGGGGGGGTAAAAGTTCTATAAAGAAGATAGAAGGTGAAGTAGATGACTATGAAGGAAGAAAAGTATGAAGAAGAAGAAGAAGAAGAAGAAGAAGAAGAAGAAGAAGTAGGAAGAAGGAAGAAGAAGGAAGAACATCACAAAACATCGAGACCCTTTTGAAAACATTCCTGACATCTTAATTCATATTGGAAAATTCAAAACTATGTAATTTACTTTAACAGAACATAGAAAATTAGTTTACATTATCTTTAACCTGCTATTAGTATTAAATCTATCATTATCTCTATCATTATAAAAACGTTTAAGACTTGAAGACCGATTGACTAAATGAAAGAAAAACATTTCTAATATCAATTTTGAGATTATGGTAAACAACTATTAACTAAGTAGAATGATAGTCATTACAAATCAAATGATTATTGTATTAAAAAACATCTATTTTTTCCCCCATAATAGATTGATAATAACTAGAGGAACATTGAAAACTGCTGAGCATAGAACAACAGTCTCGGTGTAGTATAGGATTTCCTAACAGTACTAATCGATGGTCTC